AGCTCTAGGGTCTATTCTGCATGTCCAACGCAAGTAGTTGTAGATTTACATACGTAACACTCTTTCTTTCTTTTTCAAACAATATGTGACGTCAGAAAACATTGTACGCATGCTCAAACTGTATTTTCTTAAATGACATTACTTTTGAAATGTATTCTTCAGAAATCAGTATCTTCATTAAAGATGAATATGATAAGTAGATTACAACATTTGTGTCCTCGTTGTATCTGCCATACAATCACTCACGCTGGTTATTGYTCATATTTTAAACATTACAATATTATGCACTTAAAAAAATTTCAAGCAGCTGTCTTAACAGTGAGATTGATTAACTGAAGAAGCATGCATGCATGCTGAATAGACCTTGTCGGCTTGGGCATAATGACTTCCCATTTCAGACCATGTGTCATTCCCCTGAGAATATGATACTTTGTTTGAATTGAATCTTCGTTTTAATTTGCAACTGAGAAAAACAAAGTTAAACAAAGAAATGATACTCTAGGGAATTTCACAAGGTTTTAAATAGGAAAACATTACGCCCCAGCCAAGGAGGTCTATTGGTTATGATGGTCATGAGTCCAGGTGAATAGTAATTTTMGTAAAGTTAATTCTAAGACAATATAAATCCTTAAATCCTAATTTTACATTTTCATGATACATTATTTAAGTATGTTAGTTTGTGTACTTAAATCTATTACTTGTAATTATAGTTTCTTTTGGTTTTAATTTTATATCCTTCAATCCAATTTGGTTCTGATGTTATCTCTCTGTCCCCCCTTACAAGAAACATTGGTGTAATGTTTGACTCGACTCTTTCCATGGTTACAAAAATCAAACAACTATCAAAGTCTGCTTTCTACCATCTCAAGAATATTTCCAGAATACAAAGATTTCTTTCTTTCACTTCTTTCACTACCACTGAGAAACTGATWCATGCTTTTATAACATCGAAAATTGACAATTGTAACTCTCTTTTGTTTGGTCTTCCTAAATGTTCTATTGACAAGGTCCAATCTATTCAGAATGCTGCTACCTGACTGCTAACTCTCTCCAGAAAACACGACCATATCACTCCAATTTTAAAGAATCTTCACTGGCTACCTGTATCAGAACGTATAAAATACAAGTTCCTATTACTCACTTTTAATGCTCTTCACCATCTGTCTCCAAACTACATAAAGAGTGATTACTTCCTACAAACCTTCAAGACTTCTCCGTTCTTCAAACTCTTTTCTCTTTAAGATACCAATTTACAATCTGAAAACTTAAAAAAAAAAAAAAAAATCGTCCTTTTTTTCACGAGGGTAGCACTTAATAGCCAGTGGCTAACAAACCTGTGGCCCTCATTCCATGATCGAATTGGAATTTAGGAGTTGATTTTTGCGGAGGGAGGAAAACCGGAGAACCCGGAAAACCCTCGAAGCACAGGAGAGAACCAACAAACAACTCTACTCATATACAACACCGAACCCGGCGGGACTCGAACTCGGGTCGCATTGATGAGAGGTGAGCACTCACACCGCTACGCCACCCGTGCTTCCCGTACTTATGGTGGATGATCCTTCTCTTTTGCTGCACCTGAACTCTCTCTACCTCTATCTTTAAGATCCTGTCAAACTGTCCTTGAATTCAAGTTGCAACTTAAAACTTCTGTTTAAAAACTATTTTGATTTTTAGTCATCATTAGTTTTTGATTATTATTGTTATTATTATAGTGCATAGAGCATTCATTTGGATATGCGCTATATAAATGCACTATTATTATTATTATTAAATGTTTGGTGTTTAAGAAACATAGCTTTACTGTCGAGTAGATGAACTGAAAGAAGTACCAGTTGCATTAATAATTATGAGACAAATGTGGGCAGGGAGACATATATATTTTACATCAAACCATGTATTGTATTATCAGTGAGTCTAATGCGGGGAGACTTTTACATAACACCAAGTCCAGTTGATCGTATTTTGCCGTAGGCATTTAACCCATTGAAATAAAAAATACTAGTCAACATCTAATAGTCAAA